TTTTTCTGAAGCCAGCCATAGCAGGAGCGAGCGAGCGAACAAAAGCGAGCGAACAAAAGCGAACGCGAGCGAGCGGAAAAAAAGCGGTTGGTTTCCGGTCGGAAAGCAGCGAGCGGTCGGAAATTAAGTGATAAGCGGTCGTCAAAAAAGCAATAAAAGCGGGAGGTTGGGCGGAATGAGTACTGTAGTATAATACATATACACCATTGTTATTCTCATAATAACCTCATAGTATAATACATATACACATTGTTATTCTCATAATAACCTCATAGTATAATACATATACACCATTGATATTCTTTTCACCCATCTACATGTATGTAAATTCTGTCACTGCATGATACAGTCCAACTACAGATATTTACAAGAAATGTGTCTATCGTATATAGGAGCCACTTTGATACATTTTTATTTCTGTCTGGCGCTAATTTGAGGTCACATTTTGGCAACTTTGCTGCAAATAGTGCTTAATTGAGGTCAGTCATTTTGCTCACACTCAGAACTAAAACTATGGTAACCTTACCTTACAGAGGAATCCGGTCTATACAATGTACCGGATTCTGCTGTAAATTCACCCTTGGCCGTTAAACGGCAGCTTGGTTTTTAAAATAAAATGAAACCAAGAAATCACGGTAAGGTATTTTTTAAAAATATTTTGGCATCATTTTTCGGACATTTAAATCATTCCGGACACCTAAAATAGTCTAATTTAAGTTTTACCATAGCCATTGACGCCTATTCAAGAGTATGATGTTTATTGTTACTAGTGTGAATGGGAAAGCTTTGTTTCAACAATGAGCTGTTATCCCTGTTATCTTTTGAAAACAACTAATTTTTTCTTTCAAAACAAAAATCATGCCGTTTTTCCATCTTAATCCAATCCAAAGGATAGTACTACAATATTGGCAAATCTTTCCTGTGTTGCGTTCAATAACATTAACATATTTAAATGAGCTATGGTAATTTGAGCACTTAGCATCATCCACCAATTTAATTGGTTATTTAGCGATTTGACCTATTAGGTCAAAGATCTCTGTTCCAGGTCAAAACATGGCGAATATTCTCCAGCATCGAGCATTTAATATGCGAATGTAATCACTCGCTTATGATGAAACTAATTTGCATTTCATAACAATTCAACAAATTTTTTTTTTAAACATTAATATAATCACTACTGAAATAATCAACAATTGTACGCGCAAAATAATTAATTAAATCACGCAACAAACGAAAAGGACAATTCGTTGTTGCCTCAGCAAGTTGCTTAACGCGTTGCCCTGCTACACACGCACTCCATAAACTCAAAGCTATTCCAACTTACGTACACATACATGAAGAAGTATGATTGTTACTTGTATCAGCATGCTAGTTGGCGCTTCACAGTCCAATAAACGCACAGACTATCATTAAAAGAATTCAATGGGCAGTGAGGAAAGGGACGATTTTCACCCTTGGAGTATTTTTTCAAGGGCGCACAAAGTGTAGTAGACAGGCAATCACACGTTCTAAAATAAACACTGCTCATTCATTTACAAAAAGATTAGCTCAAGTGTTAAGCAGACGTCTGCCAGATGGGGAATTCACTGGCGTCTATTTCACGGTTTTACCCATACAGAAACATTCAACTTTGACTGGTGTCTAATTGGTGTTACAATTATCACCTTTTCTATTGTACTGGCACCTAATCCAGGTTGGCGCTTATATGAGGTATTATACGGTATGTGCCTTTGTTTGAGTGTCTTGTGGCATTCTGAAAAGTGGACCAACAAAGATATACAACTTTTAATTATTTTTACCTTTTTATGGCTTAGAAGCTGTATATGAAGCTAAATTAAAAATAATGTATGAGAATTCAGCGGGTACATCAATAAATCTGAAAACAAGAAGTTTACTGGATGCATTGGAACAAGACAATGTAAGTTTATAAGATTACAATAAAAAACAACAAGAATGCAACAGTGTTTCTGTTTAGTGTTAATGATTGGTTTTATTAGCTCCGCTGTCGACTTTGTCGAGCGGAGCTTATCATATGAGTGATTGTCCGTCGTCGTCGTCCGTGTCAATGTTTTACTTTTTCGACTTCTTCTTGAAAACTACAAGCCTGAATGCTTTGATACTTGGTGTATATGTACCTTGGGTAGACCTCTCTTAGGTTTGTTCATTTCATGTTGATATCTTTAATTCTCTAATTTTGGTGAATATTTTTGTAATTTTTGGTAAAATGTGATATTTTCGACTTCTTGTTAAAAACCGCAAGTGCAATTGCTTTGATATTACATCTATAGGTACTACATGTGGACCTCTCTCAGATTTGTTAATTTCGTGATGATATCTTCAATTCTCTAATTTTGGTGAATATTTTTGTCATTTTTGGTAAAAACTGATATTTTGCGACTTCTTGTTAAAAACCGCAAGTGCAATTGCTTTGATATTACATATATAGGTACTACATGTGGACCTCTCTCAGATTTGTTCATTTTGTAATGATATCTTTAATTCTCTAATTTTGGTG